TCTCATATAAAAATAAATTATAGACAGCAAACATTCTCAGTGCTTGCTCAAATAACTTACCATTAATTTAACTGTACATCCCAAGATGCTAAAACAATTCCAAAGATAGTCATGTTTTTCCATGGCAGAGTAGGATTTCGATAGGGGAGTAGATAGTAGATCCTGAACTCCATTTGCTCATGATCACTGTCCTTAAGTCACACAGCCTGAGTCTGAGTTCCTAAGGAGATGAGAACACATAGGGTTGTTATCCAAGCACTTCTTCCATTGGTCGCAGAACCAGCATTGATAACATTGTGAATTAAGACACCCCAAGGTTTGCTCTGCTTTACTCTCAAGTCTCTGTTATTTTCACTTTTGAAGGCAGCTATCTTGGATCTTGGTAAGCTCTAAAATACTAGCAGTTCTCAGAAGATTCTAAGCAGCAGCCAGAAACTGAAAACAGAGTAAGTGAGCCATGCATCATGGACAGTACACCATGAAGATTTATTAAGATAGCTGATGTATAATCTCTCAGGGACAGGTCTTCATAAGTGAATGCTGAGAAACAGCTGGCCTAGTACAGAGCTTTGCAAGGGCCTCATCCTTAGCCCCTATGATGGACAGTCTTTGAGTCAATCTTGAAGAGAGTCTTCTGTCCATACTCAGTGAACAAAGATGGTTTCATCCTCCAGATAAGGTCTCCTTGGATAACATTAATATCAGTAACAAAGTCATAGTTATATTCAGATTTGTTTCAGATGGCTGTCTTTGAAACTCCCAATTTTAACGCAGATGAAATCAAGTTGATACATAGCTGTAAAAGCAAAGGAATGTTATCAGTGAACATAGCCATGCTGAGTTCTTACAAAATTAGAGCATTCAAGAGGCTTCTTTCATTTGCTACAGAAAAGGACAGTGATTCCCTGATGGAGAAGCCTACCTTCCCCTGGTCTACTCACTGTACAGGATTCTGTGCAAGGACCACAACATAATTGTTACCAATGATAAAACAGCCTGATTGTAGAACTAGCTGTTTAATTTTTTACTTATTTATGTGACTATGATTTCGATAGCACTTCACTCCCAACACTAAGAACAATATCATTTGCTGAGTGACTTCTATGATCTGCAGCTCTGTGCAGCACATGACATGCATTTGATCCTTCCCACAGCTTTCTGAAGAGACTTTATGGTTTTGGTTTCTGTGACAAGATATGACATTGCAGAGTCACAGAGCCAGAGGAGAGCCATGGATCCAGTGCAGTTATTCTCACTCCTATCATTGGGTCCTAACCAGATATTTGTTCTTTTCTTCTCAGACCATGATTCTGCCTCTGAGTTACTATTTGTAAAGTTGTTGAATATGAACCAGATGTTTCCTTGGTGCAATACAAAGCAAAACTGAAAAATGAAATTGTTGGATAAGTCCAGCCTTTGAATATGGTTTTAAATGTAGAATTGCAGACTCCTGATACCCCTAAATCAGGGACAACTTCATTGTCCCCCTAAAGATAGTGGATGATCATTCATTCAGTGATAGGGCACAGGGAGAAAGATTCTCTTTACCATTCCACCAGGAAAGGTGTTCATTCTCTGTGGAGCTTTGTGTACACCGACACAGGCCACTACTGGAGAGGGCATTCGACGGTATGCAGCAGGTCAAAATACAGCAGGGAAGTGTTCAACTGCAAGAATAAGATTCAAAGGACAAAGACCAGTGGATTTCAACACAGAATTCACACAGTCATCCTTAAAGCAAAGAGCCCTGGTCATAGTCAAAATATAAATATGAATAATATAAATATAAATAAATATCATAGTCACATAAATAAAAAATTAAACAATTAGTTCTATGATCAGGCTATTTTATCACGGGTAACAGTTATGGTGTGATCCTTGCACAGAATCCTGTACAGTGAGTAAACCAGGGGAAGGTAGGCTTCTCCATCAGGGAATCACTGTCCTTTTCTGTAGCAAGTGAAAGAAGCCGCTTGAATGCTCTAATGTTTTCATTCAGACAGCATCAAAGAACGCCTAAAGGACCAAATGAAGTGTTTCATGGGCACCTGAGGTTCTTAGGTAGGGGGAATTAGCTCCTGTTCCCTGTTCTGGACAGCCTGCTGTACTGTAGAACCTTTTTCTTATGCAGAAATCTCTATGAGTCTGAACTTAAGAAACAGCAGAATAAAGTAAGTGGTGAAGGCCGACAGAGTAGAAATGATACTGGGATGATCAGGACTTAACTAACAGGCTTCAGGAAGCATCAAACAATGGAAAGAAGAGTAGTACTTCCGGCCTAGGTAACCCAGGTAAAAAACAAAGGCAACTATCGTGCCGTACAGCCATCAATACACGAAAATACTATTAGAGATGGCCCTTAAAAGTACTCTTGTTATTGGGACAGAAATCTCCATCTTCATAGCTACAAGTTTTCTTCTTTCTGGAGCTTCAGCCTGCAGCAGCCTCACTATTTCCTTAGTTCAGCTGCAGTCTCCGACAGCCTTGTGCCGGTGATGTAGACCTTGATAATTCTTGCAATAAAAATCCAGTCATGTATGACATTTAGGAGGGAGGGAGCAAAAGGTTTAAATTGCCTTGGGGCATTGGAAACATTATAAAGTCGTCTTTAATGAGAAAGGAAAAAAAAATTAGAGGCTCAAATATTGAGCCAAATCAAAATGAGTACCAAATCACTAGTCATGAGGCTGTCCCCTAATGATTCTAGATTTAAAAAAAAAAAAAAAGCGTTAATGTAGGTTTTCTCCAAGAATCAAAATTAACCTGTCAAATTCAAGGAGAAAAGAATAAAGGACAGGATAACACTTTAATGCCTTCTCAGATGCTGCCAAAATGGACTAGTGTACATGGGTTGCTCAATAAAGAGCAGTACCTTTGCCATCCTATGTTAGAAAATACTGACACTTTGAAGACAATCAGAGCATTCACTAGGCAGCCCATAATAGCAAACTACTTCCCACACTTCCCACAAGATCCATCCCAATGGAAAACAATTCACACGTTTCTATTTCATTCTTTCTCTCTCTCTTTCATCGCCTCTGTTCTCTTTCTACGAATGGAGTGGAGTCCTTAGCTACAAGCTTCTCTCTGCCACTGAGAAGCAGTCACTTTTTTTCTCCAAGTCCCTTTCCTGGAGTGTGGCCAAACAGCTGCTCCACACTCCCCTGGAAGTCAGGGCTCTATAGCAACATTTAGCGGAGGACATACTCTAGCTGAGTGGTGGGGTCCTGCTGTGTCACCCCATGTGTCGTTAGTCCGTGCAGTCTAACAGAAGTCTACCTGCATGACAGCGGAGCTTCTAGGAAAAAACCTGCGCCCAGCAAAAACGGGTCCCTGGGAGTTTCAACACAAGGAGCAGCTTGGAGGGGTTTCTGCCAAGTTCAAGGTCCGGAAGCACTAGAAGGAGCCCATACATACTTGCATAACGTGAAGTCATAAGCCTAGGGATGCACGGGGGACCTAAGATCCAATCACTGGTGCTTGGGTTCCACCCCAAAGACTGCAAGTTCATTAGTATGGGGTGTGGCCTGCTCACTAGGATTTATAAAACCTCCCCTGCTGATCTGAGGGGCAGTCAGGGTTAAGAGTCCTTGACAAGTGTCCAAAGAAAGGCCACTTCTCCCAAACCACTTCTTAGCTGCAGAGTCAGACTGGTTCCTGGAGTCCTAACCTCTCTCTCTTTGCTGACAGCCAGAGCTGCGCTGTAAGTACGAACCCTCCTGAAGGACTTGAACTCCCCGCCCCCTGCGTTGCAGGACTCTCTTCTGTCGCCATCATTTTGCTGCCCCCCTGACATCGCACTCACCTACTTTTCTTGGTAACCACAAGGGCTGCTATCGAGTGGTGCTTCAAAAAGCACTAATCTGGAGCCCTGCTTGAGAACCAAGGCCTCAGAGTCCGCAGCAGCTTCTATCTAGAGCATCTGCTTGAGCCTGCATTCCCGTGTGTGTCTGGTGTGTGTCTGATGGGCAGCCAGGTTTGGGAGCCACTGAGCTCCACAGTGGGTCTAGCCTTTCATCCTGCCAAGTCATTAAGGATTTGTAAGGATGAATGAGCTGTCGTGAGAGCGAGGGCCTGCTGCAGTGCTCCGTTATTAATTATTGGAAGTGAGGTATTGGCAATGGTAAGGCTTCTCTTGGAAAGGACAATGAATGGTTGGTAGATTGCTGCATTAGGTCTTTCCTGACTCAGTCTTAACGCTCAGTTTCTTTACTCCTGTCGGTAGTTTAAAAGCCGCTCGGCTTTCAACTCCCGGGCCTCTTGGTCTTTATTCCCATGTAAGCGCCAAGGTGTGAGGGAAATAGCAACACCTGGAGTCTGGCAGAGCTCTCCGCTGTGGAAACCCCTGCCCTCGTCCGTATTTGATCCGCAGGACCTAGCCGTTAGCATATATTCCTTCCAATCTAGATATGAAGGTGAAACACGGAGTAAGGATTTAAAAAAAAAAAATAATCGGTGATACACCCCCAGATTCCCTTTGCTAAAAGGAAGCTTCCATTAGCAGAAGACCGGAATGTGGAGGGAAAAAAAGATGTATCTGGAGTAGCAAATTCAGGGGTAAGAACGGAGCAGACCAGCTGGGGGTGGGGTCGTGTTGTCTAGGACTCAGTCTAGCGAGGGTCAGAAGAAAAGTTACAGCAGCCCGGGTCTGCGCCTATCGGGGTGCGAGAGAGTTCGCTGGCTCGCGCAGCTCAGACGCACTGCGGGGGTCCCCAGAAGGCCGGGGAATCCAATCTCCCGCGGAGCAGAGGGGAGCTGGCGGCTGCCACGGCTGTGTCCGCCCGGCTCTTGCTCCCGCAAGGCACCCGGAGGGAGCGCGAGGGGTCCCGGGAGGCGAGAGACCCGAGGGCGCGGCGGGCCCGGCGCGTGCGAGCCAGTGCGAGGCTGCGGGCGGGCGGGCGGGGTGCGCGGGAGGGAGGGGAGGGAGCGAGGGAGGGAGCGCAGCGCGCGCGCCGCCCGGCCCCGGCCCTCCCAGCCCGCCGGCCTCGCCGCCTCCGCCCGCGCGCACCGCTGCCTGCCGCCGCCGCCACCGCCGCTGCTCGCGCCGGGCGCTGCTGCTCCGGAGTCGGGCTGCCGTCCGCCGGCTTTGTGCTTCCAGCCGGGGATGGGAGCGACCTCTTCCTGATCGCCAGCGGTCTCCGAAGGAAGCGAGCGCGCTCGATCGCCCGGCGGGGCGGCGTGCAGGACCCGGGGAGGGAATCCATCCACGAGCCCGAGCCCCAGGTAGGAGCCGGTCCCTGGGAGGCAGAGACTTCGGGAGACAAAAACTGCTCTCTTCGCAGTTCTCCAGGCAACGATTCCCTCCGTTTAAGCCAAAGGGGTCTGGCATCTGAATTTGTGTGTGTGTGTGTGTGTGTGTGTGTGTGTGTGTGTGTGTGTGTGAGTGCGCGCGCCTGCACATTTTCTGGGTGTCCGTGCTTCTCTGAGAATGAAATTGCTCAGGCTGTTGGTGTTTCTGGGTGTGAGGGTCCCCGCCTGCCAGTGCAGATTGCCAGAGGAAGAAAGGGCTGCTGGGGGGGAGGGGGCAGGGGGCGGGGGAAAAGAGATGCTGCACCCTGGACAGTGCTGGGCTGCGAGGATTCAGGGCGCGAAGAGCTAAGTCCACCCGGAAAGCAAGCCGCGCGGCTGGGAAGCCAGACACCTCCACCCACCCGGCTCCTCTCAGGGTCGGTCACCCTTCCTGGTAATCCCTGGAGTCTTCCCCTAGCTCTGCTTGGGAGCCACCTCTTCTGGCGGGCGCTGGGTGCTACTAGGCGAGGACTGCAGAGGGGAGGGAGGTGTGGCTGGGTAGCAGAGAAAGGAGGGAGAGAGGCTGTGGGGAATGGGCTGTAAGACCCCGCGCCGGGGCACTCTGCCTTGGTGTGTGTTGGGGGTTCTGCACACACAGGCGTCTTCATCCAGAGATTCAAAGGGAACTTCACAGCTGCATTATCTGCCAGTGAGGCTGTGCTGCTGGCTCTTGGAGAAATGGCCTGTGTTCTGAGATTCAAGGATCTCCTTCTTGGCTCCTCCTTCTCTAGGAAGAGGGAGGTCTTAGAGCAGGACAGTCAGCCAGAGAAACCAAATCCGTCCTAGAGATGGTTTAAAAATATATATACAACATATGTACGTACTTGCATCCTTGTTGTCTCCCCCCCCCCCAAACATACTGGCCCTCCTCCTTGTAGATCCATAGATTCCGGCTCTGTCTGATGAATGACTTGCTGGCCTTTCCTACTTTCCTCCCCAGATAAAGTGGCGGTGCTTGAGTTAAGGGCAGCAGCGATCCAATTTAACAAAGCATTTTTGGAAGACAGCAATGTGCGTGTTGTCTGTGAGCACGGGCAGAAAGTCATGCTTTTGTGCTAGGTATGGTTTTTTAACCCCCTTTAGCCTGGCTCCCTGGAAGGCACTCTCTGCTTGCTAGTCAGCCACTAGTGGTTGTGAATATAACAACACAAACTTTGTCCTGCTGGAGGTGTAAAGACTAAAACGAGAAGAAAAAGGATATCAGTGGGAGGTGTAGTGGAAGAAGCTTAAAAAAATGACAGATGCGCGAAAGACAGTTCAGGCATCCTGGTCATGGAGGCAGCAGCTGTCTGAGGTGGAGATTTCTTATCAGATCTGCTTCAAAAGGTTGTTTGAGTCCTCAGATGGGAACCGCTGAACATCCACAACCTTGGGCCCGCTGTGTGATGATTTCTCAAGGGGGCTTGGGGGAAGGGGCTGGAACGGAGGCAACCTGGAGGGAATTCTGAAAGTATGCCCCTCTAACACACACACACACACACACACACACACACACACACACACACACACACAC